GTTCCTTGCCAATTCGATAAATGGTTGGGGAAGCTGGATGGATTGTATAGCCGAATGCAGAAAAAGTAAAACCTGCAACAGATTAATGGGCTGACATGGCAGGATTATGCTCCTCGTTTAAAAGAGCCACCAGAGTAATTAGCCAGCAGAAAGGGGTCCTGCCACGTCCTGCCTGCATTCTCCAGCCATCGCTCAGCATGCAGGCACTCGCCCCCTCTGCCCCGTGAGACGTGTCCTGGAATTACTGAGCATAAGCCAAGCAGCCAGCCGCTCTAGCCTGGTCCACCTCACCCCCCACCTCCATTAACAAGAGACTGGCCCTCGCGTCTTTATTCTTTAACTGCTCGCCATCAGTCAGCGACCTCTGTTAGGCGTTAGCAGCCTTCGCAGGCTGATCACCTTGGCTTGCTGCCGTAACCAACCCAGGTGAGGGATGTACTACACCTTGACGGGAAGTGAATGCCAGGTCTCACCTTCTTCTTAAAACGCGGACGAGACTGACACACGCTGTATCTGCCTGGTGTATCTGCCTAAATATTAAACCTGAGAGGCATGCCCACCCCCGGATGACACATTTCCAGCGAGTGCAGTTTCATCCGAAATACCTCTATGCCTCAAAGTTATCCCGATCCACAGTGTTTTTCGAAACAGTTCCCACAAACAGGTAGCTATTTGTACCGATTTCCTACAGAAATGGGGGAATATATATAGAATGATTGAGAAGGAGAAACGGAGTGGATCTTCCCGCCTGTCAGCTGTACCCTGGAGCACCCGTCTGAGACAGTGTGAAGAAACGGGACAAAAGAGGCCATGGTCTGCGAGTCGGGTGGGGGAGGGGAGGGGGCTGACGGAGCCACTGATTTGCAGGATTAAGCAGTGGAGACAGACAGGACCTCAGCTCTGCAAAGAACAGCCTGTCTGCGTTAAGGGCTGCGTTTTGCTCACCTTAATATAAAAGTAATGCCGACCAAATATGCACAGAACACAAGTCTTCTCTCAGACTCTGGCACATCTCAGTCCTGACTAGAGCTAAACCAGAGTTGAACCCAAAGCTACACCCAGACCTAACCCCAGAGCTAAACTAGAGTGAAACCCAGAGTTAAACCCAGAGCTAAACCAAAGCTGAACACAGAGCTAAAGTCTAGTGAAATCCAGAGCTAAACCCAGAGCTAAACTAGGGTGAAATCCAGAGCTAAACCAAAGCTGAACCCTGAACTAAACCCAGAACTAACACCAGAGCTAAACTGGAGTGAAACTCAGAGTTATAGCAGAACTAAACCAAAGGTGAACTGAGGAGACCTAAACTAGTGCAAAATCCAGAGCTAAACCCAGAGCTAACCCAGAGCTAAGCAGAGCTAATCCCTGAGCTCCACTAGAATGCATCACCCTCATCCCCTGTCTGTGAACTCAATGATACAGCAGGAACTTTTTCCCTTAAATCTTGTGCATTTTATCCTAATCTTCATAAATTCACCCAAATAGCCCGTATTTGAAAAGCTGACAACAGCTTTCAACAAAACTTCTCAGAAAAAAAGAAAACCATTCCATCAAATGATTTATTTTAAGTGTGTTTCCAGCCAAGTGATGGCAAATATCAAATTAATTGAAATCCAACATTCGGCATAATTACTAACCTTTGTGTTTGTAATCATTCTCAAACTCAGGTCTCCTGCCATGTGAATGAATGTCATTTGTCAAGATGCCAGTCAGCGTGACAGTAAACACTGCACTGCCAGTCTGATCTCTTTCATTTGGAAGGCAAAGTTATCATTTCAGACAGTTCATGGCTGGCAGACAAGGAACCATGATGTTTGCCGAGAGGTCAAAGGTCACAGTGTGTGCCACTCCAGGGACACAGCAGCCGCGAAGGCAGGTTTCAACATGCTCCTGTGTCCAACACTGTCCCCCAAACACTCCCTGAACAATAACGTTCAATCGGTGACAGCGGGCCAAGCAGAAACAACAGACACCTGTAGCAACATCTGGAGAGGACAGGCCAGAAGATGAAATTAAGTCACGAAAATGACGTTTGAAGATATCAAAACCTGACAGCGAGAGCGTGCCCTAGCAGCATGATTAAACAGCAGCTACTATAGGGAAATAAAAACAGAAAAAGCCACTAAAGTTATTATAGTGTAGCTTTAGATACAATTTTCAATTTCATTTCAACTAAATTGCTATTGACATTATGTACAGAATCCAGACAGAAATCTCAAAGGAAAAGAAAATCCTAAACTTCCATAGCGAGTTATTTATTATAAATCCATATTTTCAAAACAAGGAAAAAAAAACCTTCGGTGGAGGTTATTTGTGGGTCCTGCGCTTTCACTGGCCATCTGGCAGTTGCTGTATCTGATAGCTACTCCCCTGCTTATCATTACTTTCTGTTTTTCTGTCGGTGTGTCCCGTTGCCATTCGCCACCTCGCTCTGGACCCACCAACTGTCACATGACCCAACAATGACCCTTCTTAGGCTGCCTTCCCAATCGGCCACTGGCCGATGTGACTGACACTTTCGCCTCCCTGCCAAGACCTCCCTGTCCTGTTCTGTGTCACGGCTAACCAGAGGGTGCCCATTGCCTGACTGAAGTTGCCAGACCTGTCACCACCATAGCTGTGGGGGGGGGGGGGGGGGGCAGGTGGAGAGCCCAGAGTAGGTTTTTGACGATGTCGCCCAATGTCATCATCGGCATGTTCACGACTCATGCCAGCCGCCCACACAGGCCTCTGGGACACGGTCATTTCCGGGGCCAAACAACCAGAGGCGTGAGCGCCGGCAACCTGGGGTCCCGCAGCCGCGTGCATTTCACAGGCAGCCAAAGGTAGAATATACCGGATCTCCGCGCGGAGAGTGCCACTGCACATTTACTATGTGCCGGTCCAAAGCGAGCCATGGCTGTAATCCAGCATATTCAGAGATATTACAAACTGTAAAATCACTTCATGGGTTTACGAATGTACCTACACTGGATAACCATGGATGGATGGATGGATAATAATATTATGATAACAATGATGATGACAGAGGTTTCTTTCCCAGCCTCCATAACGAGCTGAGGATTAGCCGCCCCCCCCCTTTGAAATGGTTGTCAGAACCAGGGAATTCGCCCCCTCACTGCCCTTTTAATTAGCTCCATGTTCCCAGGCCGGTGGAGCCACTCGCGGCTTCTTCATTAACTTCCGAACTGCTGGGCCACCCGGCAGCAGAAGTGGAGGGAGCTGTAACAGCCACGCACCACACGGCCCGTCCAGGAGAGGAGGATTTACGTCGCGGAGCTTTTCCTGATAAAGCCTATTTCTGCTGGGACTTCGACTGTGAGTCACTAGCAGAACGGGCCAATAAGAGAAGGGCAGCAATACGGAAAAAAAAAAAAAAACATGCTCACACACAGAAATGAAAAAATCAGCACACAAAGACATTTGTCTGTTTGGACGGGAAAGCCCATTCACTTCCCCGGCGCCCCACATAGCGGAGCTGAATGGGGTGACCCCACAGGACTTCCGCTAACTGAGCTCCGCAGCAACCCCCCCCGTCCTGCAGCAAAGATGGAAAAAAGTGGTTGAAGATGTCTAAAAAGAGATTTTTCAGGCACAAACTGCACTGCTAGAACCACCTGAACAGCACGCTGCCGCTGGATAGTGTGAGTCTGTGCGTGTGCCAGCTTTCTGTATAATACATGTTACCTCAGGCTTAAGCTGTTGGTTTAGGACAGTGAAAAGGGGGTGTGGTTTTTCCCAAGAGGGTGAGTCAGGTGATCATCATCGTCTAAGGTGATTTGTTCACCATGTTGTGCATTCAGAGGCTCTGCTTGTGTTTACACAGTAACCGCCTAAAGAGAGCCCCCCCTCAAACCTGAGCCTCCAAAATGCTAGACGCCCGTGTGTGCAGGATGCCGTCACTTTATTCCCCCTCCCTGCTGGAATTGCAATTTAATCTTATATTTTGTTAGAAAGCAGCTCATCATCCTGTCTCACTGCAATTCCTGAGAGAGACACTGGCATTCCAAAATATGTTCACTGCACACCACAGACATCTTGGAATAAAAAGGTTCTCACAAACTCCGGCATTTGGTTTTCCCGATCTATGATCCTTTTAATTATCACAAATCCACCTACACTTCCTAAATACCTGCACTGCCTTCTAAGAAACCCCTCATTCTCTCCATGCATGTGCTGGGGTTGGGCAGGGAGGGGGGGGAGGGGGGGGCGCTATTTGATGTGCGTGACCTTTAAAGGCACTGAGTGCCCCTTTTTTAACCTTTAAGCACCTGTCGCTCAAAAAGTCTCTGCACAGCCCAGATTCTGTCCTTTTGGCATAAACATTTTTCCAAAGCGTGAACACAATGAGTCCGTCCCAGCAAGCACAGGGTACACCCTGGATGGGATGCCTGTACAACACAGGCAACACAGGCAAAGCAAGAAGCACACCCAAAATCAGGTACTGTAAGTGTGGTTACTGTAGAGGGAAACACATACATGAATATGCTGGCTGTGTAAACACAGACACCGGAAGCTTTGGCTCTACCTCAGCACAGCCTCTCTCACCGCTGCTCATGTCTCACACTGCTTTCCATTATCAGTACAAGTCATCCCCTATTTACGCTTTCTTGCATCTTTACCATCTGGAGGAAGAAAACATCTTGACAGGTGAGCAGATGTCCTATAATCCGGATTAATTACTTGTTCTTTTTCCTACATTATATAAATGACTCAGAAATTGCAGATTCAGAGTGATTCTCCAGAAGTTTCCATTCAGTTTTTCCATGATAAAGTCCACATTATTGCTTGCTCCCAATTCCCTACCAGACAGTCCACATTTTTGCTCCCTTCCAGCTCCCAGTAGCAAAAATGTGGACCGTCTGGGGGGTCCCCAAGGACCAGGTTCAGAAACACTGGTCCAGATCATGAACTTAAAATGGGAACAATGTACAGTAAGATAACCAAGGTTAATTTCTCAAACTGGACGATACTGCCATTCAAGAAAAAATTAAATATCTTACCACTGTCTGCAATGGAGAAGGAGAAAAGATCACTAGTGGCTCGGTCCCCCTCCCTCAGCACATAGCAGATCTTCATGTCATCTATATCGGCTAAAAAGGGACACATTCGTCACAATGCTTTTCATTTAACTAAGGCACATCACAATTGTTTGACTGTGCAGTTCATCAGAAACACATTATCATTTGATTATTATTTCATAAATTAATTTGGGGATAACATACCAAAAAGTGAAAGAAGACTATGAGTTATTAAATAAATAACATTACCAACTCACAGGAATGGAACATGGCATGATTTTCAAGTTCAATTACGGTCAGTGTTGTTATTCTACGCCACATAAATCAACAAATCACAATATTTATGAGCAACAGAGTTGCCTTTAAGTTGAAATAAATGTATATTTAGTATCAGATTAGTATTCACTGGAATGTGTCACTGCACTTCAGGGCTAAATCAAACCAACTGTGGCACTGCAGGCAATTGTTAGAGTTTCCCACAGTTGGATGAAGAGAATAAGGAGAAGGACTTTGGCATTAATGTAAGGCATGGGAGACCCAAAAGTGAAAAAACTCTGTCAGTGGGGTATAATTCAGCAGATTTTCACTCTATCTAAGCACACTTCATATTTCTCATTAAAGCACTGTTCAATATTTAAAGCAAAAACAAAGACATAGGTTAAAAAAAAGTAACTGGTTTCAGTTAAGCTGGTTACCCATGTCTGACCTACTTTAATTATTTAACCGATTTCCTGCAGTTAAATGGATGCAGCAAAGAAAAGCTAAGAAACACACAATCTGTGATCCTGCTGCATGCTGATCTCCATCTACAGCCCCAGCCTTGCCCCGTCTTTAAAAGGAATGTCATCCATTCAGCCTGTATGATGCATCATTAACCCTCATCCATTACTATGGTTTACTACATAAACAAAGAAAACATGCTTTAGGAGAAGAAAAAAAACTAAGCAGTGCTTGGATATAACTATTGTCTCCCCAAATTCTACTGGAAAAGAAACTATTTTTCTTTTTCAAAATCCATTTCATTCACTGAGTAAGACTGAAATACCGATATCTCCTGCACTCCTCTTGTACTTCAGAACTGGCTAATCAGAGAAACTCTCTGCCAGCCCCTGCAGAGCTGCATTTCATCATCTACTCATCACTGACAATGAAAGATGGGTCATTTACTTCTATGGTACTATCTTTGAGCATTTTCAACATCACTTTGCCTCTTTAGAACTGAAAGTAGTTATTGCAGATTTTGACTAGTAGATCAATAGTAGAATGTTAATGATGAGTGTATTACATTATTTGTTACGATTAATGCATTTTAAAGTGGAAAAAGTAGTATTTGAAAACAACATCCATACCTTGGGTAAAGGTGGTAATGGCTTCATTGCCTTTGCCCAAATTGATGAGGTATCCATGTTCTGGACTGACAGTGACTTTGAATCTTACGGAGATCCGAGGACTGTCTCTGTCTTCTGCCTTCAGCACCTTACTGGTGATGAGGTACCCAAGGTGCCCAGTGGGCAAGACCTTCAGCGTCAGACTGCCCTTGTTGACAACCACCTGTGGGATCCTGTTGTCCACCGAAACAATGGAGATCTTCATCATCTGTGGCTTGCGAGTCTCAAACACAGTGTCAGGGAAGATGTAGAAGTCCAGGTGAGTGCCGTCACTAACCGTGAAGGAGAAGCTGTCTTCGGAGGACTCCGTGCCATCATGTTTGTAGCTGATCATGTTCTCACTGAGGTCATGTTTAGTGAAGGACTTGATAGGAAGTGAGTTGTTAAAGAGCAACCGACCATGGACTGGCAGCTGGGTAACCATGAACTTCAGCAGGTGGTCTGCTGTGTCCTGGTCCTCTACGGTCAGCTCAAAGGGAGTTATCAGCTTGTTCTCCCCCTCAGTAACTCTGAGCCCATTGACCATCAAGACAGGCTTTTTATTGTCCACGTCTGTAATGGAAATGCGGAATGTACGGAACATGGGGTTGTATCCATCTGTGACCTCAAACTCAAAGCTGTCCGTTTTCACCTCGTCGTCTGAGGTGTGGATGTAATAGATTTTGTTCCCCGCTAGCTGAAGTTGAGTGAAAGATGAGACTGGCAAGCCGGATGCGTCTGTGCATTCGAGATGTCCCCGTACCGGGGCCCTAGTAATGGTGAAAACTAAGTGTTCATCCGGGCTGTTGAGGTCACTGGTGCTGAGCAGGTCTGTAGTGAGAGTCACTTTTCCACCCTCTTTCAGTGAAACACCTTTGCTAATCACATCGGGGAACACCATGTCTATGCTGCTGATAGTGACGTAAAAATACCTGTCAATGAGAGGATTAAAGCCATCTGTGACATCAAACTTTATGAGATCACGAATGCCCTCTTGTCCAATGTGAGTATATATCATAATGTTGTGGTCCACCTCATCCTGAGTGAAGTTCATTCCAACAGTAATGTTTTCAAATATTCCAAGTGGTGTTATCCTTTGTAAGAAACCTTGCCCAGGGCCATAGCGAATAACATAAGTCAGAGTGCTGTCCTCCGAGTCCAAGTCAGTAGCCTTTAAAACTTTATCATTTATTACTTTTGTTTCTCCAAATTCAATTTCTAAACCGTCATTTATCATCATCCTTGGTGTCTCATCGTCGACTGGAATAATCATAATAATGATGTTTTTTTCGACCATAAATTTACCGTCGGTCAGAACGACACCAAAGCCGTCTTCTGTGGTTTCAGAGCCGTCGTGCTCATAAATGATACTGGAGGCCACTTTAATCTGACTCAGTGTAAAGTTAGTCACAATGCTGATGCCGCTGTCTAGCTGGCTGACGACAGACCCATGTCTGGGAGGCTTAGTAATGATGAAGGTAAGCACATCAGCAGGGACGTCGGCATCTGCGGCATTCAGGATCGGTGTGTCAATTATGACATTCATACCCTCCATCACCACAAACTCCCTCATGTACATCTCAGGCTCTTCGTCATTGGAGGGGATGATGACAATGGGGAAAAAGTAGTGATCTGAGAAGTTTATACCATCTGAGCATCTGAAGGTGAATCTGTCTTCCACTGGCTCGATGCCTTTGTGAATGCTCTGCACATAATTAATGTGACATTGTCGGATGTCCTTTAGAGTGAAAGCACTGATTGCCATCCTGGCCCTAGACTTTTCTGAGCCTGGGGCAGGTGAGATGTTTTCCAGGTATCCATGAGTGGGCTGGACAATGATGGTACAGAGAAGCTCATCACTGGGAGTGTCACTGTCTTCAGCACTAATATGCTGGATCTCGATCACGCTCTTCTCTCCTTCCACCACAGTGAACTGCACTCCAACCAGCACCTCTGGAGCCTGATTATCGATCGGGAGGATAGTGACAAGGACACGGACAAAGTTTACTCTGTTACCCTCCATGATCCATTCATCTGATCTGTCACTGAGGCTCAGATTAAAATAGTCCTCTTTCGGGATGAAGCCTATCTCTCCACTTGTGTGAGCATAAACCACAACACCACTGATGACGTCTGCTTGAGTAAATTTCTCAGAAGGTTCTCCATTAACTAGAATTTCCCCAAAAAGTGGGGCATCTTCCACAATAAAAGTCAGTCTGAGGTCACCAGTGTCTCTGTGCCTTCCTTGGATTATACTGGGGGTAATCACGGTGGCTCCATTCTCTAAGACATCTAGATGGGAAGCTATTGTCCCAGTAGGAAGACTGATTTTTGGCATTGCATCACTTGTGGGTTTTACAGCTATTTTTACAGTGATGGTTACAACATGGACACCATCGCTCACATCTAATTGAAATGTGTCACTGGCTGACTCATCCCCATTATGAATATAGGAGACTTTTCCATTGGAGATGTCCTCCAGGTTAAAGACATGCCCTGCAGACACTTTGCTAAGAGAGTGCTGCACATGCCCATGAGGGGGTGGGCGACTGAGTGTGAATGACATGTGGCTTCTCTCGGTGTCGGCATCAGTGATGTCTAACTCTGCACTCGTGATGACATATGTGCCCCCTTCTAAGACGGTAAAACCTTTGTTTGTTATCTGCGGAGGTTTGTTGTCCACTGGCTGGATAAATACAGTAAACAGTCCCTCGACACTATTTCCAGCTGTGTCTTCGACCCTGTATCGAAACAGCACTGCGTGGGCAGTAATCCCCAACTCCATGTCAGGGGGCTTATAGGCTATTTTGTGATGATTTATCTGTGCTTGGGTAAATTCAGTTACTTCATTCTCTGGGCTCTCGGTTAAAACAATAGACCCAAACAACACAGGACTATTCTCATCCATGTCTGTGGGCAGTTGAATGACAGTGTACTTCAGGTCTCGGTCTTCGCAGTCCAAGTCAGTGTAACGCAGATGTTTTTTCTGGAAATGAGTCAACTGGTATTCTTTCACAGTCATCTGCAGAGTGGTGCCAGGGAACACTGCAGGAGGAACGTCATCAACTGGTAGAATCTTAATGATGAATTTGCTCTCAGCTGATTGGTTGGGAGGATCATTATCGTCTTGAACCCAGAACACAAACTCATCCATGACAACATCTGTGCTATGAGGCCCCATGTGTCTGTAGAACAGCCTTCCATCACTGATGTCCTGTTGCAACCACTCTGTCACCACTTTCTCGTAAAGTTCGTCATTCGCGTTGAACCTCCATGTAGACGGATCCTCTGGAGCCTCCGCCTGTCGCAGCAAAACCTCCCCGATTTTGGAAAAAGGAGATTGGATTGTGAACTTGACTTTGGAGTCCTCGGAGTCGACGTCTACGGAGCTAAGCATTAGTGTGGAGATGGACATCATTTGGTTCTTGAACAGCATAAGCCCTGTGTTCACGTTCACAGTCGGCGGCTCGTCATCGGTCGGCACCACCGTGATCGGAAAAAGAAATTCCACCTCATTCTTGCCATCGGTCATCCGGAAAATAATATTGTCACTATAGGTGTCACTACCATCATGCTCATAGATAACAATGCCGGCATCAAGGTCTGCCGGGGTGAAGAATGTTCTCTTGGAGCCCAGAATGATGAGTTTTCCGTGGCGCAGTCCATCAGTCACCGTAATCCTGACGTCAGATAAGTTGTCCTCGTCACTGATTTCTAAATTTTGCAAACTGGACAGCGGCCTGGATTGACCTTCATAAAGAAGCTGCCCAGTGTTTCGTGTCACCACTGGGGCCAGTGTGTTCATGGGTTTCACTATAATCATGAAGGCAAAGGTGTCCGAGAGAGCGCCCTCTGTGTCCACCACCTCAAACACGATCTGGAAAATTCTCTCAGTGTCGGAATCCACAGAGGGCGGTTTGTAAGCTATTTTCAGTTCCCTGAGGTCACTTTGGTAAAACGACATGATTGGCAGATTCCTGTCATCCGTGCTGACGATGTAGCCTTCGTCAAAGGAAAGCGGAGATGTGATGTTGAAGATTAAATCGTCGGGGTGAGACTCAGTGTCCTCTGCAGCCAGCATGTCCGCAGTTATAGCTGTCATGGCAAACTGGTCCACCTCCATCATCAACATTGCCACAAAGCTGGGTTTAGGGGCCGTGTTTTCATTCCCCTCTTCAATCTGCACCATAATTTGAAAATATTCCTGTTTAAGAAGGTTGCCCTCTCTGTCCTGTAATTCCACAACCATAGGTATATAATCTCTGTTTGGTGACCCGTGGGAAAATGCATGCTGATAGCAGATGTTGAGTTTAACAAATTCATCACAATCCTCCATTTTTCCCAAGTTAGTTGCCTCAGTGAGTTTCCCATATCTGGGCAAGGCACTGACACCTGCTAGAGATATTATCTTGCACTGTTCCGAGTTTCTGTCAAAAGAAAACTCCAGAATTCTCCTGTCAATGGGATTACTGGTGCCTAACAGTTTTTCGACAGTGAGAGGCATGCTCAGAGTCAAGACCTCCAGTTGGGTGAAAACGACCTCCACTGCCATCATGAACGGAATAATTAAGGTATCGGTTTGCGTGTCATAGCGGAGCTGCAGCCTTACCCTGTCCTTGGAAGGGCTCCTCGCCCCGAAGTGCGAGTACTTCACGTCACTGGGTCCGAATTCACAGGGAAACTTTTTCGGAGAGAGCTGCCCGGGTCTCTGCGACAGTGGATCATTATCCAGAACTGTAACGCTGCAACTGTCTCCGGGCTGCACCTGGATTACCAGATCGTTGATGGGATCGATAAAGACCGATCTGCCGAACAGCGCACGTATCCCGTTGTTGGCCACCAGTACGGCGTCTTCAGAAAGTTCCGATCTGAGAGCGTAGGACAGCGCGGAGCTGTCAGGGACGTGCGCCGGGACGCCGACGCTACCTGTCACACTCACCGCAAGCGTGAGAATGATGAGAAGCGCGGCGGCTCCCGCAGCTCGCCGCTGCTGCAGTCGGAACATGTTGGCGATGATCTGCAGTTCAATATTACTACGGCCACCACGATCTAAACCAAATCGGACAATAAATAAAAAAATATTAAGGCGCATGCATTACAATGTAACAGAGCCCATACACACACCCGCACAGAGTCGCTCCATTCTGTCTGAGCAAGTGCTACATTGAGTTATAAAGTTGAGGCACTTGGGAACCCATGGCGAGGAAATCACGCCCTCTTATAGACGCGATTGGACGCTGTTTATAGTGGAATGCTATTTTTCGCCTTGTAAATGGATGTGACCGATGTCACTCTGTGCTTGAGCGAGGGTCGGGAAAACCCGGCAAACGCAGGGAACCTCGGTCAGCTTTTATGAACTGAGTCGGGGATTTAACTCGCAAACGTGAGTAACTTAATTGAGTACAGTAATACTCGACAGAAGTTTGTAAAATCAAATATACTGGCTCCATAGTGAAATGTAAGTGAAGTATATCATTTAAGTCCGATATTAAATTAATTGATTCCCGTTTTTAGTAAAAAAAAACATGTTCACTGAGGTTGCTGTCTTTCCAGAATAATCAGTTACTATAGGCCTACTTATTTGCCTGTTCATTATAGAAACATTTGAAATTAAGATTATAACAGTGTTCTGGAATTTAATGTGGATTGAATCTTTTTTTACATTTCCCAGGTAATTCATTTAGCAAATGTCTATACTCGGAGAGCCTCTAACATAAGATTTCTTTGCAGTTAAAGAATTTAAAATAAAGTAGAATTATTTAAGTGCGTTAGCAGGCACGTATATTTATAGCTATTAATTACCTTTATCGCTGTTGATCGAGTACAGTGCGAACTTGTCAGACACGTGTTTGGCTCCCTCTGTTGATGGTATGCATGCGGTTGCATTGCTATTCGGGTTTTCTTAACAATATACGAAGTGCCTCTGGTTATGTCTCATTTATATTCTCTCAGGGTGAACTAATATTTATAAAGTTTTGCGTGGTCTTTTCAAATATTTCACCAGCTCTTTACTTGTATCAATGGAGTCGCATCATCCCAGATTTAAGCCTTCGTTTTGTTTCCTCTAGGCAGTTACGATTGTAGCTTATGTGATACTTCGATGCGTAAACGATAACAAAGTAATTCTTTTACAACAGATTTATTACTTACAATGCTTGTCTTAGTTCTGTTTTTAGAAGACTTGCGACGTACAAGGCGAAAATTAGATGGCAGCTGGAATTTTTGTCATTCCTTTCGATATTTTAATCAGAGATGTAGGTATATATATATATATATATATATATATATATAGAGAGAGAGAGAGAGAGAGAGAGAGATGGAATATTTAATCGTCTATGGAATACAGGGTAAACAATGCAATTTTTCTGCCACCGCAGATGTTTTAAACTCTGTTGATTGGCAATGGACAGCAACAAGACGGTATAGCAAATACGTGTTTGTCTGTTAATGGCCAATAGTGCATCCAAATCGTCTTAAAATGCCCCGATTCTAAAATAACACAATGGCAGGTAGGGTATTGCTGTATGCGCGCACATTACGCCAGCGAACAGAGCAATGCACTATCCGTCAGCAGGGATATACAAGGGGATGGGTGAGAGTGGGAACGGAGGAGAGGTGGAGTGAAGGATGAAAAAGGCAAATCCAGAGAAGCAGACAGTGCAAGGAACGGGCTGAGCAAGAGCAGAGCTGTGGATACAGGAGGAATGAATATAGATAATGAAAAAGAGAAATATGAGCAGAAGTGGCAGAAACGGAGAGGGGCTCGGAGAAGCTGTCAGGATGCCTTGTACGACGTGAGGAGATCACTCCTTTTTGGAAGCCACCACGGTGTGCTGTAGGGTGTCTTAAGGGGCTCTCGTGGTGTCCCGGAGTAATTGCACTTTATTTGTCATTTGACCTGAAAGTGGCCCACCACACGTCATCCAAAAGAACCTTCAGAGGCTGAAACTCTGGAGTTTCTTCAAAAACAATGACACTACAGATATTTTTGCTGTGGTTCCATTTCACTATAAAATGGTTTTTCCCACTTTCAAGCACTGAGTAAATTACACTTTTATTTTGAAACTGTGCCACAGCAAAAATATCTACATTGTCCTGAGGTTGAGGTGACCTGTGGCGGCTGGCAGCAGTGCCGACAGCTTTCTTAATCAGGACATCCATCCATCCATCCATCCATTAATCCATCCATCCCTGCTTATCGAGTAAATGGTAATGGTGAGCCTGAAGCCTATCCCAGGAGCTGCTGGACTTAAACAGGACACCCTGGATGGAATTGCCTGAATCTGCAAAACAGAAAAAAGCATAGATCCAGGAAGTACCATGTACTGTATAGTATCATCATAAGTAACAAAAGACGCAGGAGTTTACAATAATACACACACACATTATATATATATATATATACAGGTATATATATACAGGTATATATATATATATATATATATGTTTGTATGTATAAGGAAAGTGTGTCTCTGTGATTGTAGCAATTCCCTTTACATGGTATTACGGCTTAAACAGTGAGAAATTATTACTTATTGATATGTAAATCACAAATATGGAACATTTTTGCAATCCACAAAGATAGCCAGTAAATAGTTCTCCTAAGACACCTAAAGACAACATGTTTAAAATACATACATTTCTGGAATTAGTTTATTTGCAATGAAGCAGAATGCATTACAGGTAGCTTCCGCCTATTATCTTCAGCAACATTTCATGGTGCCACCTACTTTTTATGATACTTATCCAACTATTGAAATCTGCTGTAAACCTAGGATAGGATCTGACCGTTTCTGTCACCATAAAATATTATTTCAACTGGAACAAGTGAAAAGAAGAGGAATGGCAGAACTGAGCACTGGGTGGAACCTGCAGCGGTGCTGGAAAGGGCATGATATAAAAATAAAGTGAAGCGAGTGGAGAACAGGCTGCATGAGAACGTATAACCTTATCCTGCCACATCACTGCGAACTGTCTGTATGAGAACATATAACCTTATCCTGCCACATCACTGCGAACTGTCTGTATGAGAACATATAACCTTATCCTGCCACATCACTGCGAACAGGCTGCATGAGAATGTATAACCTTATCCTGCCACATCACTGTGAACAGGCTGCATGAGAATGTATACCCTAATCCTGCCACATCACTGCGAACAGGCTGCATGAGAACGTATACCCTAATCCTGCCACATCACTGCGAACAGGCTGCATGAGAACGTATACCCTAATCCTGCCACATCACTGCGAATTGGCTGCATGAGAACGTATAACCTTATCCTGCCACATCACTGCGAACAGGCTGCATGAGAACGTATAACCTTATCCTGCCACATCACTGCGAACAGGCCCTAAAAACAGCCCAGCCTAAAACTACAGCAGGCACTATTAAAGATTATTAAAGATCCCATTCAGATGACACTTTAGACATGAAGCATTAAGACTTGTGTGAACAGCCAGAGAAGATGCTGGCGACAGGACTGGAGAAGACACAACCTTTCGTCATACTTCAATCTAGAACAGTGTTTCCCAGCGCAGTCCTCAGGAACCCACAGACAGTCCACATTTTTGCTCCCTCCCAGCTTCTTACATGGCAGGAGCAAAAACATGTACTGTCTGTAGGCCCCCGAGGACCGAATTGGAAAACACTGTTTTAGAAGAATTACATACTTGTGTCTGTCACAGGAACAGTGGCACAGTGTACGATTGTGTATGTGACAAAATAAAACTTGAAGCCTGAAAATGCCTAATGAGTATGTTTTAACAATGTATTTATTGCTGTTTTTTTTACCAGACGTTTTTCCCCTTACGTTTTATGGCTTGTGCTTGTATCTTTACGAACAGACTCTGCAAGCACAGAGAAGTCAAAGACCTGCTAAAAGGTTTACACACGCTGAGAATGCAGCATGTTCTCCTGAAGCAGTGCAGATCTTGCAGCGTGTGTCATGCTAAATAATGAGGCTGTCATTCAAAGCACCATTCCGTATATCAGGTACTGCTGGGTGTTTTTCTTGTTAACGGGACACCATGACAGGATTGTTAAAGTATACGAAACACAGGGCTAGGCTGCGTGACAGTGAAGGATCTTGTTACAGTAATCGTATTGGTCTGAATGTGTCACCTCAACAATGTTGTCACTCTTGTAGATGATCTTCAGCTGTTTCGTTCAGTAGCTGTATTCTCTTTTCTTCGTTTCTCAGACCAGTGACAGTCTAAGAAGCAGAAACATGATTGGGGAAATCCTGAATTTTAACTAGCTTTAGGTAACTTAAAGTCACTTAAGAAAATTAAGTGAGAAAGTGTTCTAGTACTTATGGACATTTATTCATTATTTTGAAATAATACTGTATATTTTTCCAACTTGTCCATGATTGTTGCACATGAATAGCATAAATTTTGTTTAAAAAAAAAAAAAAGAAAAACTATTTTGTAAAAATCTTATCTTTCCTTGAACATTCAGCATAAAATGACTTTCATGTACCCATAATACAGACAATTACGGAAGCGTAATTTCTGAGATAAAGTTTTCATGTAAAATAAAAATACACTCTGTTTTTTGAATTAACGCGATACAGTTTTCATGTAAAAAATACGCTGTTTTTCTGAATTAACGAGATATAGTTTTCATGTAAAAAAAAAAAAATGCTCTGTTTTTCTGAATTAACGAGATACAGTTTTCATGTAAAAAATACGCTCCCACAAGATGATAGTCTTTGGATATTTCTTCAGAACAGGTATTCTTATGGAGAATATTCAGAAAATGCAGCAGGATCGTGTAAAGTCACAGCACATTCAGCCTTGCAATGTATTCATTTTGAATAGTATTTTCAAAGCCTGAAATACGTTGTTGTACATTTCACTAAATCTCACTTTTATATATCCAGTACTTGTGCTGACTTGTTAGATTGAAATAATGAATTGACACACAAAATAAAAAAAAAATGCTCTTTTACATTCACTGGTTTATAATTAGTTGTAATGTATAGTTTTGGAATATTATATGAAATATCTTCAGACAATACTTAATTCTTAATTCTACAACATTGTATGAGAATAAAATGGCCTGTTCATTAAATGTACATCAATTACAAATTGTAACACAGTACTGCATTATATACTGTATGCTGTGTAACATTTATACATTCAATTCACGTTACAGTAGTAGAATTTTATCTACATGACCATATAGTAACTACCACAAACATCCAGTATACCATTGTTACAAGGAAGTTGGTGATATGGAGTACTTAGGGTTAAAATGATAATAAATCCCAATTTAATTGCATGTGAAAACAACTGCAAGAGAAAAAAAATATAGCATGAACAGGATTAATTACTTTTTCAGTGTATTGTTGTACTGTGAGCTTAGCAGAAGGAATACATTGCTAATGTAGTTTAAATGATAAGTAATTTTATAATGTAGGTATAATGTAAACCAAGCCCCTCTGTTAGGCTAATCTTAACCAAAGTAATGTTTTGTTTTGTTCTGTAGTTGGAGAAATAGATGATGCCACTCTGGCTGTTTACATTCCAACGTATGGCTACACGGCGTTTCTGGATGGAAAGACACAGAAGAGGTGAAGTTAATCTAACACGAGTGTCTTTATTTGAAAAACTTAGAAGACAGACGGCCACAAAAATCAACACAAAGATCAAGACTCTACAAAGGAATATTCTATGCATTCAACAAAGATGCATCTAAGACAAAATAAAAGGGCCTTGAAAATGACAAAAAATATGTAAGGTGATTAATCGTAAATTCGTAATGCACGTAGAGCCGCAGAGCGATGTAATGTATGTGTATGGCTGATACCCAGTAAAAATCTGCGTTACCTGAACGTTGGTATTTTGTAGTGATTATCATGTTGTGAAAGTGCACAAACACAACAGCGATGATAGATAATGGATAGTGTACATTCACCTAAAGGATTATTAGGAATGCCTGTTCAATTTCTCATTAATGCAATTATCTAATCAACCAATCACATGGCAGTTGCTTCAATGCATTTAGGGGTG